ATATATTGGAGGTATTTCTGCCGCACCCTGGATAATTGAGACATTCATTGGTGTCGTCTGTTAAGGTGGGAGGATAATCTGAGCGGAGCCTGTGTGTCTGCGCGCGTGTGTGTATGTGTGTGTGTGTATGTGTGTTTAAAGGTCTAATCTTTAGCTTGCGATGCCGGATGTCAATATTAGATGTTTTTTATACATACCTTGTGTAGGTTATCCTTATGTCAGAAGTTATCCCCCAGACGAGGCTCTGCCGAAGGCCAGACTGTCGTCTCGGGAAACTGACTCCGTTTTTACGTGGTCTATAGGGAATTTTTTTCCCGAGCCTACGGGGTCGGATACCCCACTTTAAACTCGGCCTTGTGCCACATCTTGCTGCGTGGACCAGCGGGTAAATGATTATTAGATGTTTTGATTACTGTTTTAATTTGTGGGGGAGAGGTTTTGTATGTGGGGATATTTTAAGATAGAACGGGAGATTAATTTTTTCTAGGAAAAAAAACCCCGCAAATTGGACAGAAGGAAAAGAGAGATAAGAAGAGATAGTTGCGTGTATAACGGGAGCGTAAGTGGCCGTCATGTGACCCATGTGACTTATCTCCATCAAAGGGAGACAAGCACCTTCTGTATCTTTACACGTGTTTATCGTTGATTACAATGGGTCAGTTAAAAGAAAAAAAAAAAGGTTTTGTTTCGCCATTTTCTTTTTCAGATTTAGAGAAGTGAGTCGTCTGGAGAATTTTACACTCCACCCTGTCTAAACGGTTGGAAATTGCTTTTGGACGCACGCACATACACATACAAGATACCGTATCACCCTTCCAACTAACGGAATATTAGCCTCTTTTTTTTGTAAACTACTACAGGACCTAGTCAATACTGAATTGGCTAAGCATCTCATATCGCAGGGCGATCTTTCAGACAAGCAATATGGCGTTCTTTTCTCTTGGTCAACTGCTGATATACTGACGATAATTGCGGAAAGAATCTATTTAGATAATAATGGTGAAGCTCGGATTGTAGCTTTGAACATCTCGAAAGCTTTCAACATTGTTTGGTATACATTTTTTTCTTCATTATTATATTTACGCATGTTTTTCTCACTTTCGGATTTTCTCATTCTTTCCTCACCCCTCCCCTTTTAGTAATTTTACTTTATGGCGCCAACTTAAGTTATATAAGCTTGCTACAATAGTGATAGAAAATAATTATTTCCCCAAAATTACCTGATGAGAGCGTAAGGTTGAAACCCGGGTAGTATTGAGGGTGAATCTTCTTCAATTTTTTAATATTATTATCCGCTCTGCACGTCCATTTTTTTTTGGAATTGTGTATTGAGCTCTGTCTTAAAATATCCGTCCATTGTGCTAACTCCTTATACTTTTTTATATTCTTCATATATATATATATATATATATATATATATAAATTAAGTATATATTAATGAATATACATAAAATCCCACGTCGATATCGGATAGGCAGTTTTCAGGTGCAGGATACTCACTCTTGTTTATTCGCATTACGAGTCTTGCTATCGACGTGTGATCTCATGTATATTCATATATATATATATATATATATATATATATATATATATATATATATATATATGTGTGTGTGTGTGTGTGTGTGTGTGTGTGTGTGTCAGTGTGAGAAAGAGAGAGAAGGTAAGGGTGTATATATGTCTGAGAGATAGAGAGAGAGTGTGTGTTCAGTGAACCGTGTATTAAAATGATTTCTAGCGAAATACATGTGTAAATTAAAAGTTACCTCCCTTGAATTTCTCCAAGAGACGATAAAATAGTTATTAGAAGTATTCATTAACGATAGGGCTATATCAACTAGGCAAATTGTATGTTGTTCTTTTTTGTTTTGTTTTCAAACAGTGTCAGAAGTCGTTGACTACTGTTTGCCAAATGATATTATTGCAATATTGCATTAGTCGTTTTCATGAAAGAGCGAACCAAAAAAAAAAGAAATGTCTGACAATTTCAGCGTTGTTATTATTATTGTTTTTCATAGGATTTACAGTTTAATCTGCTTTAGTCCCGACGCTCAAGTCTAGTTTACATAACAGGATACTTTTGCAAACCGTGTGGATCTAAAATAAAGAAACTTCCGTCGTGATTCACAGTTTCATTTCTTATCCATCAAGGCCAACCACATTCAAGATCAAAGTTATTGCAAACTCCAGTTGGAAGTTTTGTAAGAGCCATTATTTTCATGCATTTTGAACATTTCAAATACATTGTAATTTAAATAGAAGCATAGAATCATTTTCTCACTAAATCTTATTAAAGCATTTATTTCTATTAACTAGGTGTATACATGAAAACTTAATGACTGTTAACACAATATGTGTACGTATTATTAATTCTTTTCTATTGTTACCACTAAAAAAACAGCTTACAACTAGTAGAACTATTTTACAACTAAAAATAACCATCTGCCTTTTAATTAGGAATTGTGTTTTCTTTTTTCTGTTATTCCGTGTTTGATGAGACTATTACCACCTTTTTACTGAGTTGTAATCGGTAGAACGCCATTAGCTTTTGCATGTTTGGCGTACCTCCGCTAAGTTTGAGAAATAAACCTTGTTGAGCTGAAAATTTATATTTGTAGTTGGATTGCAAAATAGTTAAAAAAAATTATATCTTAATATCACAGATAAAAAAATATTTATTTATATTATTTGCTTTTTAGAAGTTAAACAATTTAATAAAGAGAGATATAGCTTTATGGTTCGTTTGCTGATGTCCCTTTATTTAGTGTGTAAGAAAGAAACATATTTTTGTATTAATTCGACTTGTAGAATTAAACGATTAAATCAAAGAAGCTCAAATTTTTGAGCTGATTTATAATAATAAAACGAACTAGTATGTAAATGAACGACGAACAGAAAATAATCTTTCTGTTATCAGCTGTCAGTTGAGTTGGTTTATCATTGCTATTGTGGTAAGAATATTCTTTTAAAAGTGGATAGGCTTTTCATTGACTGCAAAAACACTTTTATGTACACATCTAAAGACTGTCTATTCTCTTCACTTGCAGGATAAACTAAGTCCTCTAGCCTTAGCTGGTGGCCAGTCTAGGGGAAGAAATTGTCAATCGCAAGCTGATATTAGGACAATCCGTAACGTTTATTGGCAATAAATCACCTGCATGCTACAGTAAACAAGTTAGGCAAATACACAAAATTAGAACGAGGAATAAGTCATGGATGCATTTTCACAGGATATTTATTTAAACCACACAGCATGACAATCCTAAGAGAATGAGAAGATTTACCAGGATTTACTATTGAAGGAAGGACGGCTTGGAAAATTCAATACTCACAGGACGTATTGAGCGAAGGAGTGATAGAATGAAATAGCGAGCAATTTATGAATGGCAGTGCATAGAGAAGGAGAGATCGTAAAGAGGCAAACGTAATTTAGAGCGAAAAGAGAGGGGAAGTAGTAGAGTGTCTTGATCGTTAACGGTCTCAAGAGGCAGAAATGGTGATCATATAATAATTTATTAGCTCATTCTAATTTAAAAATGACCTATATTGGCTAATTACAAGTATGAATTTCGAGAGTTAAATGATTAATTTGTAATCTTTTTATTATCATTCCATCCCAAGCAAGGCAATAAAGCCACTAAGATGCAATGAGAGGGGTTACTGAGTGTTAGAGAATATGAGAAAAATACTATTAATGTATGAACAATAAAAGAACAAGAATTAAAAAGACAAAAGATAACGATTGACATTTACATTTTTGAACATCAATGTTATCTGGGAAGCAAGAAGTCGGACGAGAGTTCTACAAGCGAGAAATAAGAGAGAAGATATTGTTAGCACAGAACTTACGGTTCCTTCCAGCCATTTCAACTTTACAATGAGATCTTACTGCCAATCTAGTACTGCGCTTAAATTCATAAAGTCTAGGTACCATAGAGGAAAGTTAATGAGAAAAATTACCATGAAAGTATATGTAAAAAAAGGCATAGGAAAGTCACATTGCGGCGATTAGAAAGTGTTTGAAGGCGGGATACGAGGTGAGGGCCAATAATATTGCAGATTCATCTTGGGATTTCATCAAGAATCTATGTCGTAACAATATTCCAAGCAAGGACGAATTTAGACTTATAAATATGTACAAAAAACACTGGAGATATCAGTCTATATTTCTGAGATGAGGTATTATGGACACTATTTACATTATTAGGACGATTGTCCTCATGTTTGTTTCCACATATATCACAACATTTTCGGCCGTTGTACACTCCGGCCTTCTTTAGGTGGTTGGAATGTCGAACTGAACCTTTTATTTCGCTCGCTAGGGTAGACTGTTCTAGTCCCGTGTACCATGTCTAATGGATGTCAGTTATCAGTTATCTCTTGTTAATTCCCCTCTTCAAGTTCTCCACTGCCTTAACTAGGTATTGAACTCACACTGTCACTGGATCTAACCATCGCCTCTATCCACTGTGCCAGGTGTCCTTAATAGTGGCGAGAATAATTGTCTAGAACTATGATGGTGGTGATAAATTTTAATAGGCAAGTGGATCTTTCTGGAGAGAGAAAGAGAGGTGGGGAAATTTTTGAGAGAAGGAATTTAATTTTACTGATAGAGGAAAGATCTTAGAACATTATCAAAACTGAGAATGATAAACAGAGAACGAATGAGAAAATAATAAAGCAATAGAAACATAACTAGAAGTTGCTGATGATAACAAATAGAAAAGAAGTAACGTTAAGAGAAAACACAGAGAGACGTAGGTAAAGTGATAATGAAAGATGAAAAAGAAGAAAGGAAAAAAGAAAGAAATAGAAGGAACGAAGAGAAAAGAGAGAACAGTAGTGCTGAACTGTAGAAGAAAGAAAGAAAGAACAAATGAAAGAAAGACTGAAAACTTGAAAGTAAAAATGAGAAGAAGGTGAGAAAGAACGAGAATATAAAGAAATAACAGGACATTTCAAAATGATGAAGGGAAAAAAGAAAAGAAAGCAAAAAACAGTTAGAAAGAATGAAAAAGAAAGAAGGAAAAAGAAAGAATGAAAAAGAAAGAAGGAAAAAGAAAGAAGGAAAAAGAAAGAATGAAAAAGAAAGAAGGAAAAAGAAAGAATGAAAAAGAAAGAAGGAAAAAGAAAGAAGGAAAAAGAAAGAAGGAAAAAGAAAGAATGAAAAAGAAAGAATGAAAAAGAAAGAAGGAAAAAGAAAGAAGGAAAAAGAAAGAAGGAAAAAGAAAGAATGAAAAAGAAAGAAGGAAAAAGAAAGAATGAAAAAGAAAGAAGGAAAAAGAAAGAAGGAAAGTGTTGGGATAAGTAAAAAGGAAGAGCCAAAGGAAAAGATAAAGAGAACAAAAATAAAATAAAAAAGAACGAGTGAAAAAGAAGAGAATAAAGATGAGAATAAGGATTAGAAGTAGAAAAAGAGAAAGAAAAAAGGATAGAACGAGAAAGAGAAGTAAAAAAAAAAAAAAAAAAAAATGAAGGAACAGGAAACTAAGAAGAAAGCTAAGATATAAAAGAAAGAAAGAAAGAAAGAAAGAAAGAAGATATATTGAAATGAGTAAAATAAAGACAAGAAAGAAAGAAAAGAAAGAAAGAAAGAAAGAAAGAAAGAGTGAATGATTAAATGAAGAAAGACACAAAGACAGAAATAAAAGGAGCGGTAAAAATGATCAGCTAATGGGGAAGAAGAAGAAGAAGAGGAGGAAGAAGAAAGAAAGAAAGAAAGAAAGAAAGAAAGAAAGAAAGAAGATATATTGAAATGAGTAAAATAACAAGAAAGAAAGAAAGAAAGAAAGAAAGAAAGAAAGAAAGAGTGAATGATTAAATGAAGAAAGACACAAAGACAGAAATAAAAGGAGCGGTAAAAATGATCAGCTAATGGGGAAGAAGAAGAAGAGGAGGAAGAAGAAAGAAAGAAAGAAAGAAAGAAAGAACAAAATGAGTAATAAATAAACTGAAGAAGAAGAAGAAAAGAAGAAGAAGAAGAAGAAGAAGAAGAAAATGAGAATCCGGAGGAAAAGAAAGAAAGAAAGAAAGAAAGAGGATGGGTAAAAATAATAAGTTAATTAAGAAAAAGAAGAGGAAGAAAAAGAACCAAAATAAACAAAGAAAGAATTAAAAAAACAAGATAAGTAGCAGTAGTAGTAGAATAGAAACTGGTGTAGGATAAGAAAGAAAGAAAGAAAGAAAGAAAGAAAGAAAGGTGAAGGAAGGAATGAATGAAGAAAGATGATGGGTAAAAATGATCAGTTAATTAAGAAAAAGAAAAGGAAGAAGAGCCAAAATAAACAAAGAAAGAATAAAAAAAATAAGATAAGTAGTAGTAATAGTAGAGAAATCGTGTAAGAAAGAAAGAAAGAAAGAAAGAAAGAAAGAAAGAAAGAAAGAAAGAAAAGTGAAGAATAGGAAGAAGAAAAACAAAATTCTGGTGATAGTGGCAAATTATAGGAAGAAAAATAATTGTGGTTGAATTGTCTGATTCTTTGTAGTTAGCAACTCTTCCTGAGTCATAAAAGTGGAGCACCTGCTTCGGCAACCACCCACCTGCTGCTTTCTAACCACTAACTTTTCTGTTGCCATCCCCAATAATACAGACGCTAAATTTGATAATTAATGCTCACAGTGGCTGCAGACGAGGGCACAGCTGCACTCAGTCGTTGTAGAGGCAGGAACGGTGAAGACTATGAGAAGAATGTTGTGGATTTAGCACCAGACAGGGTGATGACGTTGACGAAGTTCAGTTAACAATAATAATGATGACAATAGTTGTGGTGATGCTGGTAATAGCGGTGGTAGATGTGGATAATAGTGGAGATGGAGAAGCTATCGACCGATTTCGAAATAAGCTGCAGTGATCTGTGACTGGTTACAATAATAGTGACTGACATGTGGATTATTTTTTCCTATGAGAAAGTTGTTGATGGTAAGAATTGCTAAAGTAGACTTCTTTTATGCGTCGCTTCCCTTCAGAGTGGGACTGATAATGAAGCGTCCTGGATAAGATGATAAACTGCATCCAACAGCAAGGCCTCTGATCAGGAGGCTTTGAGGAGCGTGGAACCACCTCTTAATGGCTGGTGACCCCAGGTCCACCCTGACCCGGGGTGGTAGAACCTGTTGGGGTCCCAGTTATGGGTAAAAGAGCTAGAAAAAGAATGTAATCCATAAAAAGAATGAGGTCAATTCTCTACTACTATTACTTATCATGTTTTCTTTAATTCTTTCTTTGTTTATTTTGGTTCTTCTTCCTCTTCTTTTTCTTAATTAACTGATCATTTTTACCCATCCTCTTTCTCCATTCCTTCCTTCATTTACCTTTCTTTCTGTCTTTCTTTCTTTCTATTTGTGTGACTGGGGACATGGCATGTGGAACTAGAACAGTCTAATCCAGCGAGTGAAATAAAGATTTCAGTTCGACATTCCAACCACCCGAAGAAGGCCGGAGCGTACAACGGCCGAAACCTTTGTGATAAATATGGCAACAAAGATGAGGACAAAAATGCATTCCATTATTTTATCTTTACATCTCTCTCTCTGATTATATATATATATATATATATATATATATATATATATATATATATATATATATATATATAACATTGAAGTCAAAATACTATGAAAGTGAAAAGTATGTTTTTATACCAGAAATACTATTTAAAAATTATTACCAGCAATACTTTTAGCAAAAAAAAAAAAAAAAATATTACCAGCAATACAAACAGCTATATATTTTTCGAAAAAAATATTACCAGCTATTCATTTTTTGGAAGAAAATATTACCAGCAATAGATTTTTGAAGAAAAAAATATTCCCAGAAATAGATATTTGAAGAAAAAAATATTACCAGCAATACATTTTTGGAAAAAAGAAATATTACCAGCAATAGATATTGTCGGCATTAAATAACCCATTGAGGTGTTGATATGCCGTAGAACAAACTAAACCAAACTGAATCTCCACAATTTCTTATCTTCTGTAGCTCTAAGTAATGATTGACCTCAAAATGATTCTCCCTGCTCATGCTTCGCCACCGATTTACACAAACATCTTGGGTAGGTTACTCTTTGTTTCTCTCTGACACTTTTATTATTTGTGTGAGTGGGGACTAATTATGATAACATGAGTCTCGTGATTAGTTTACATGCTGTTTCGCTTGGCTACTTCAATATGCTAGGTGAGTGTGATATTTTCCAAGTCTTGGATTCTGTTGCTTTTGAGAAATATGTCTATAATAGTTGATGAAAGATCTTACGGGCGAATAAACTTATCAATGTTCGATTGAGCCCATATAGGTGTAGAATAACAATACAATAAACAGCACTTACCAGCGTAAAGATCCCAGCTAGCGTCCAGCTGGCAGACAAAAATAAAGCAGGTTGTAACTTAATACAAACCCTGCAAACTAACTGATGAATCAAGCTGGTATTTATATAGAAATACCTCCACTCAGGTACCAGCAGCCAATCACAGCCCAAACAATAGACTATCCCACTTTAGCACAATGAGATGCTCCATGGCACCATAAATATCTCTCTTTCTCAAGGTTGGATTATTCACTTAGCTTGCTCCACAACTAAGTGTTTATCTCGACCACGTGATTTTTCTTCAATAGAGTGGTCGTCGTAGATACTCCATTTATTGGAATTCTCCAGAATATTCGTCAAAACAATTTTAGACAACACGGACCCGATGATTTGATCCGGCATCAATTCTGGAGACATATTGAAACATGACGTCTTGAGAGCTGTTCAAAGCTATCCCTGATATTGGTAGGTCCAGTATCTTGCCTGCAAATCGACCTTCCCATCATGTTCCATAAATGCTCACATGGGCTAATGTTGACACACCGTTCGTTGTAAGTCGTCAGAATGCTTCTCACTCCAATTCCGAAGAATTTTGGCCGATGATACAACCCATTCTTCTAAAACTCATGAATATCTGCAAATGGTCACGCAGCTGTGCAACGTAACGACCACCGGTTAATGACGTGTTTAGCGGCGGGGGGATCAGCAGACCCAACACATGGCATGTGAACACATCGAACAAACTCCATATGCTTTTGCGTTGCAATTCCTTTCCAATGTTCTTCCAATTCCATTTTCAAGTTTTGACATCTATTCTTTATTTTTTAAGTTTAAAGTCTTATTAAAATTTCCCAAACCATTCACGAGACATGCTTGCACCTACTGGCGCATTTTTATAAGTTTCAGTGATCCACTGTCATGCATCTGCTGTCCTTCTCAATCGGATAAAACGTCAAGAGGAAACAGCGTCAAATATGTAGTCAGCTATGATTTTCCATTAAATAAAATACAATTATCACTATTACACAAGGATGTTTTAAAGGGTACCCACACAAAATCAAGTGCTAAATAATCTTCAAAAACATTTAAGACTTCCGTGAAATTAGTACAGAAACTTTTGCATTGACTTGGCCAAAAGTCAAACACCTACTAATTGCAGTAACTTGACATGGCGAGATTTTGAGACACACCAAATCAACAGCTGTTTACAGCCTCCTCATATGGAAAAAAACTGAACATAGTATGATAAAAACGGCCTTAAACTTGACAAAAATATTTTTTTTTATTGTCTAAATATTTATGTTATTATGAAGAGGAAAGATCGAAATATTTTTTGCTCATTTTTCTACATTTTTTAATCATTCCTAGCACATCGAAATTTGTCGTTTAAAATCATGTTTTTTTTAGTCTGGAAAATTGACACAAAATCGATTGGCAGCCATTTGTTTCAGTTATGTAAACAAAAGTTAATTTTCCGTTTAAAATTCTGTCAAAAATCAAATGTATTTATTTTCAAATTTATTTTAACAAAATTAGGAATTTTAAAGTTTATTTAATATATTTTAAAACAAATCTTACTTATCAGTCTATATTACTGAGATGAGGCATTATGTACACTATTTACTTTATTCGGACTATTGTCCTCGTCTTTGTTGCCATATTTATCACGACGTTTTTGGCCGTTGTACGCTCCGGTCTTCTTCTTGGTTGCTGAAGACATTAGGTTTATAATACACAAAAATTCACACACAGATCTCCTGAAGGACATATGGCACAGTGGATAAAGTTAGATCCAGTGACAGGACCCAAAGAGTGTGACTTCAATACCTGGTTAAGGCGGTCGAGAACTTGGAGAGGGGAATTAACAGGAGATAACTGATATCTAAATATGGCGACAAAGATGAGGACAATAGTCCGAATAATGTAGATAGTGTAAATAATACCTCACAAATATAGACAGATAGACAGATATTTATAAATATCTAGCTATATAACCTTTATAAATATATTTGTCTGAATAGAATCAGGAATCATTTACTTTAAGTTCATCTTCAGGTGGCACAGTGGATAAAGGCGTTAGTTAGATCCAGTGACAGGACCCAAAGAGTGTGAGTTCAATACCCGGTTAAGGCAGTGGAGAACTTGGAGAGGGGAATTAACAGGAGATAATTGATATCTAAATATGGCGACAAAGATGAGGACAATAGTCCGAATAATGTAGATAGTGTAAATAATACCTCACAAATATAGACAGTTTCGACAGATATTTATAAATATCTAGCTATATAACCTTTATAAATATATTTGTCTGAATAGAATCAGGAATCATTTACTTTAAGTTCATCTTCAGGTGGCACAGTGGATAAAGGCGTTAGTTAGTGACAGGACCCAAAGAAGTTCAATACTCAGTTAAGGCAGTGGAGAACTTGGACAGGAGATAATTGATATCTAAATATGGCGACAAAAGATGAGGACAATAGTCCGAATAATGTAGATAGTGTAAATAATACCTCACAAATATAGACAGATAGACAGATATTTATAAATATCTAGCTATATAACCTTTATAAATATATTTGTCTGAATAGAATCAGGAATCATTTACTTTAAGTTCATCTTCAGGTGACACAGTGGATAAAGGCGTTAGTTAGTGACAGGACCCAAAGAGTGTGAGTTCAATACCCGGTTAAGGCAGTGGAGAACTTGGAGGTGGAGATAATTGATATCTAAATATGGCGACAAAGATGGGACAATAAATAATGTAGATAGTGTAAATAATACCTCACAAATATAGACAGATAGACAGATATTTATAAATATCTAGCTATATAACCTTTATAAATATATTTGTCTGAATAGAATCAGGAATCATTTACTTTAAGTTAATCTTCAGGTGGCACAGTGGATAAAGGCGTTAGTTAGTGACAGGATCCAAAGAGTGTGAGTTCAATACCCGGTTAAGGCAGTGGAGAACTTGGAGAGGGGAATTAACAGGAGATAACTGACATCCATTAGAACAGTCTACCCCGGTGAGCGAAAGAAAGGTTTCAGTTCGACATTCCAACCACTTGAAGAAAGCCTCGTTATTTTAGTGGAAGCATTTCAGCGCTCTAATTTTTTTTACTGTTTCTTAGTACTTAGCTTTCCACCTTTACGTTTACGATGCTTTATGAAAATTTTTAAACTAAGACTTTCAAGAATGAGATAAAATTTCATAAGAAAGGTACATAAAATTAATTAGCATATGAAAGATTATTCGGCAGCCCTGAGAGACAGTTCCCTAGCCTTCGGACAATTATCCCGGATGTAAACACCAAGGTCATGCATGTGAATACTGGAATCTTTTCGGAAAAGGGGAATATAGCCTGGACCCAAGAATTCATTGGTAGCAATGGAAGAATTCAAGTTGGTTCTACAAAGGGCAAAGATATATGGCGACCGTTCCAAGAGAAAAGATTCCACGCAGCAGAAGTTGGAATGGATATCACGAATATTGGAGAAAGAAAGATGTGTTTTTTTTTTTTTTGGCTGGTTTAATTTTATTTCTTTGTGTAGTGATTTCCACGAGATAAGTTTTGAGGAGAGAGGAAAAAGACCTCCATAATTGTCACTAGCTGTCGTCAATGGCAATATGGACCAGCCAGTGCGTGGCTAAGAAAAGAACATAACGTGGCCTCAGGGTTACACAATACATGCAGGGACACCTATCCAAACGCGACACGGCACTACAGATACTCCGATATGTGACAGTCAATCAAATCAGCCTCTCTAAGGGACACTAAAGATTTCGGTCTCCTGACAACCAGTCGGAAGCAGTAGTCTGCAAGCTACCAACCTGGTACCCTCACAATGGTAAGTCATAGCCATTAGCTAGTTCAATCACCAAAAGGTAGAGACAGTTAAATCATTGTGGCCATGGTAGAAGAAAAGCAGAAGACCGGTAAATCATATCATGATCTGGAAACAAGGGATGAACCTCTACTCCTGTTCAACAGACATGAAAGGAGTGCAGACTTGATGATAGGTGAGCCTATCTACTCCTATTAATCTGTTCGATAGAAAAAAAGAGGGCAAAGATATCTGATGACCATTCCAAGAGGAAAGATTCTAAGTTGCAAAAGTTGGAACGGATACCACCAATATTAGTGAAAGGGAGGAGGGTAGGTTTTTTTTTACTGGTTTAGTTGTATTTATTTTAGTTGTGATCTCCAAAAGATTTGTTTTGAGGATAGAGAGAGAGAGAGAGAGAGAGAGAGAGAGAGGGAGAGAGGGGGGGGACCACCATAATGTAAACTAGCAACTAGCTAGAGCATGGCTGAGAACAGACCTTAATGTGTCCTTGGGGTTGCCCACCAGAAATACATGCAGAGACACCTACCCATGTGTGGTATGGCACTACAGGTATCCTGGTATTATGCAACTGTTGATCAGAGCAGCCTCTCTTAAGCACTACCAAAGTGTTTGGGCTCCCAATGACCACTTGGAAGCAGCAGCCAGCAAACTGCCAACCCAGTACTCTCACAATGGTAAGTCGCAGACTCTCTCTAGTCCAATCACCAAAAATTAGAGGCAATTAAATCATTGTGGTCCTGATAGAAGAAAGACAGAGAACCGGTAAACCATATCCTGATCAGGGAACAAGGGATGGACCTCTACTCCTGTTCAATAGATATGTAAGGCGTGCGAACCAAACGAGATATGAGTCTATCTACTCCTATTAACTTGTAGGAAAAAGAACTTGAAATACGAAAGAATTCATATTAAGTTATGACTTAGTATAAGTTTTGGTGTCTACTATCAACTAAAAATGGGATGGTAAAGACTAAATGCTTTCTTGTCGCGTCACTTTTTCAGCATTGATAAGAAACACCCTAACATTCTAAATCAAACAAGATGGGGGAGTGGAGGCTGAGAAGTTTGATAATTAATAGCAATGGAAGAACAAAACACACACGACAAAATAAAGGTGAAAAACATCACAGTCTAAAGCAACAACCAACAACAAAAAAAAAAAAATAGAATTGAAATAAAATTCAAAGAATATCTACAACAACAAGAAAAACTAGTAAACTTAAGGAATCAGCACACATGCTAGGCCACAAAAATCTCCTGAGCCGACCAAGCATAGAAATAAATACAATATGGGAACCAGTAATAAGGAGTGCCAGAGAAAAGCAATGATAACAAATTTGCAATATGAGCTCTGGTAAAAACATGATACCAGCAAAATTACAATATGAGCACTGATAAAAATGGTTGCTGAAGACATTAGGTTTATAACACACAGAAATTCATACCCAGATGTCCTCAAGGACACATGGCACAGTGGATAAAGGTTGGTTAGATCCAGTTGACAGAAGTGGAAAACTTTCAGAGGGAACTTAGCAGGAGATAACTGATAACTGACATCCATCAAACATGGCTCGTGGAACTAGAACAGTTTACCCGTAGTGAACGAAATAAAGGGATCAGTTCGAAATTTCAACCACCTGAAGAAGCGTACGAAACGTTGTGATAAATATGGCGACAAAGATGAGGACAATAGTCCGAATAATGTAAATAATGTAACAAGATGGCACAAGGCAAGGTAGTTTATATACGGGCTCTACAAATGCTTCGTTCCAATCTTTAACATTTATAGACACTACAGACGAACTTATCAATAGTGTGTGTAAAAAATTATGACTGCCCTTGGCTTTCATCGGTCAAGCACTCTGGGATCGGATGGGTGAGTGAAGGATTCTGTGAAGTGGCCGGCATCTTAAGCTATTGGTGGTTCTAGCGTGAAAAGGGGTTCACCTGTCGTATTTTGCTTGATTTCGGGGTTTATCTTTTGTAGGGGTAGTTCGATTTATTTTCTTTGCAAATATATTCGTTGTTTTTTTTATGTAGTATTTTCCTTAATCTTTTCCCTTCTTGTCAGCCACAACAGACAGCCTAAAAACTGGCCTTTTCGAAGTGATTCGGGCATAACGCACGCTCTTGTACGCGTGCGCATGAGTGCATTAGGCCCACAGATGCAGACGACGTTCACTTGTATTTCGGGGTTGTTTTCGTAGCTGCTATTATTGTATTTCCATTATTTTATCTTTACATCTCCTCAGCCGGATCTTCTTTCTAAATTTACTACTACAAATAGGAGCACTGTCATTATTGGAAGTAAATAAATTCCTTCGATTTTTTGTCTTTTTTCTGTTCATCTTAAATAATTCCTCTATTCAAAATAATCTTTTTCCTTTTTTTCTGTTTCCTATTTTTTTCGGCATTTATTTTCATTCTTTCTCTTTTTATTTCTCCTTGATCATTTTCCTTCATAACTTCTTCTACCTGTTAATATATTTCCTTCTTGTTTCTTTTACTCTTTCTTACGTTTCTTGTTTTTCAATTCTTAGCTTTCTCTTCTTTCCTTGTTTTGGTTTTCTTTTGCTTCTTTCCATTTTATGTTTTCTTTTTAAATATCCTCTTTTTTTTTCTTTATCTTTTGTTTTCTTTCGTTTTGATTGTCTTTTTATATTTTATACTTTTTCTTTTTTCTTCAATATCCACTTTTTCTTTGTTCTTAGCTTTTTCTTCCTTCTTTTCCTTCTTTCTTCTTTCTTCTTAAATATTTACTTTCAGTATTTTTCTTTGTATTTTTTCGTTTCTTGTTTTCAATTCTTAGCTTAAATATACACTTTTCTTTCCTTTTTTTTTCTCTCTATTTTTTATTTCCTTTTTCTCTTCTCTTTTCTTAAATATTCACCTTTTGTTTGTCTTTTTCTTTCATTACTTTCAGCTGCTTTTTCAAGTTTTCATTTTTCATCTTCCATACTCTTCTTCTTCATTCTTCTTCTCCTCCTCCTACTCTTCTTCTTTTTCATCTTCTTATTCTCTTTCTGCTCTTTCTTTCTTTCTTTCTTTTCTTCTTCTTCTTCTTTTCCTCCTCCTTCTTCTTCTCCTCCTCCTTCTTCTTCTTCTCCTCCTCCTACTCTTCTTCTTCTTCTTTTTCATCTTCTTATTCTCTTTCTGCTCTTTCTTTCTTTCTTTTCTTCTTCTTCTTCTTTTCCTCCTCCTTCTTCTTCTCCTCCTCCTCCTCCTTCTTCTTCTTCTTCTTCTTACCTCTGACATGTTCCGCCGTAATTTCTTCCTTCGATTCCTGATTTTTTTCATCTTCTTCTTCTCTTTCTTTCTTTCTTTCTTTCTTTCTTTCTTTCTTTCTTTCTTTCTTTCTTTCTTCTCCTCCTTCTCATTCTTCTTCTTCTTCTTCTTCTTCTTCTTCTTCCCTCTGACATGTTCCGCCCTAATTTCTTCCTTCGATTCCTGATTTTTTCATTTTCTTTCTTTCTTTCTTTCTTTCTTTCTTTCTTTCTTCTTCTTCTTTATCCCAATTATCCTACCTGTTCTTTAACTTTCTCTGTTTTTCCATTTCTCTTCTGTTCGGAACGCTTCTTCATATTTGTCAGCATCATAATTTTTTGCATTTTTATAAGATTGTTTTTCTTCACTCATTCTTTCTTCCTTATTTTTCTTCTTTTCTTTTCCCTTTTTATTCCCCCTCATTGTTAATTCTACCCCTTTGTTGTCTTCCTCTCCGCTCGTCTACTCCTTATTCAGCTTTTGCCTTCTCCATCGAGTCATTCTCTCTCCTCCTATTCATCTTATCTTTTCGTTTTCCTTCTGTGATTCTCGTCGTCGAGGTTTCCTCAAAACTCTCCCCCTCCACTCTTCATTCTCGAGACTGTTTTTGTCTCCCCTTCCCGATGCTGACGTTGGGCAGTTATTTTAGTTTAGTTTAGTTTAACATTGTTTCCTCGTCTACCTATCATTGTTCTTATCCGACTTCCGGGTGAGCATTTGGCCATTACTCCATTTTTTTAGTCACCCTGAATTCTTCTAAATCAGTTGTTTGTTTTCTTGTGCCGAAATATCGTTGGTCATTTGCGAATTCGCTGACAGAAATTTCCCACCAGGCTGGATCTGAAGAAAGGAATAAAAATATAAAATATTGTCGATAAAGTGTTGTTGCAATAATTTATTGGCTTAGTTTCTTCGCCTTCGCTGTATTCCGTCGGGTCTGTACCGATCGGAAAAATATTAATTTCAATTTATGAGATATTCTTTTGCTATTAGATATAGGCAAAAGTTTCCTCTTGCTTTGGAACTAGACTTCACCTAGACCTCAAATTAACTCGTATATACGAACCATCGCTAAAGATGCTGGGAAGATGGTTGGTTCTCTGTACCGCTCCAGTAAGAACCTGACACCTTCTGCTATGCTCTTTTTTTACGAGAGCCAAATCAAGCGGAAACTGGAGTAGTAACGCCATATCTGTGCATTAACTTCACAATCTTCATTTTCCAGTCTTTACTTTCCAGTTTTGAGCCCGAACGTCATTACGCGGCCTTTTGGGTGATTAATTGTTTTCCACCTTACACCAGCCTACGAGACGTTGCAAGCTTATCCTATAACTATATCCATGGAAAATGTTCAGACCATTACCTTCTTTAGTTCCCCTAACTTTAAATCTCCTAGTGAAGATCCTCCACGTACACTGAGGCGAACGAACCACATTCCCTTCCTATTCATTTAGTAAAGAGTAAGTTCCACTTGGATAGCTTCTTCCCAAGAAGTGTTACTTTGTGAAGCAGAATCCTAGGAGAATAATTTCCCGATAACTCACAATCAACTTCTTCATTTCATATCTACATAAACTGCGTCCTTTACCCTTACCGCTTACCCTACCTTCGATAAAGCTCTACTTTAAGTGGCCATTGGGCCTTGTATAGGATGAACATTAAAAAATACTGCCATATCTGGGGTGGAGCTTGCTAGTCTTCATCTTTAGAGTTCAGAATCCGTTACGCGGTCATCTTTTCCAATTTAAAATAAAAGATGTTTCATTAAGATTGATAATATATAAGGGTGTTTCATTAAGATGGATCAAACTCAGCAGTAAATAAATCAGTGTTATTGATGAAAATTTATTTATTTCTCTATTTACACATCGCAACCTGTACTATGTTACCAAAATCAAAAGGATGATAAGGAGAATAGTCCGAATATAAATAGCGTAAATAATGATAACTCCCTATTCCTGTAATTCAGGAAGAAATTATCGAATCGTTACAGACCCAATTTGATACACCAATGGAGGCGGTCGTAAAAAATTGTCTTATTAACATCGGACAAATCCAGGAGAACACAAAGGGTAGTGGAAAGAGCAGGGTACGCCCTCGAGAGGGAAAGGATTCTCCACAACTGCTGGAGAAAATATCAGCTGGAACATGAAATATCCGAACAGACCCGGACATTACTTAGCTACATAAGCCAAAAATCGGAAAAATGCATACTCCAACAAGACTTGGATAAGTCGTAGTGTCAAGAATTTTTTTGCACACACACACATATATATATATATATATATATATAGTCATCCACAGACAAACTGTTTTGCTGTATCACAGCTCATCAGTGTGGTTAGGCATCCGGTTGTTTCAAGCCGGATCGAAACCCGACCGATTTTCCATCAGTCACAGATTCTGTCCACTAGCTGTCGTCGCAGAGAGAAAAGGAAGTTTTAACCTATTTACTATGCGAAAGACGTCAGTAGCTCGGAGAGCTCGATTGGAGTAGGAGAGCATTGCATTAGCAGCAGCAGCAGCCACTGTTTATAAAATCTCCCATTCGTCTCCGGGGGCTTAATCGAATTATTTCGAGAGTATATATATATATATATATATATATATATATATATATATATATATATGTCTACAAAAAATTAAAAAAATGATGGTTTACCGGTACATTTATGGAAGGCGAGCGAGCAGTATTAGTAATTAGAGTGTTGAATATAATGTGTTAGAGCATAATAGTGACAAGTATAATTAAATATTTACGTATCCGTCTATATTCCGTGTTTTGAGAAAATTACATCTACTCGTCGGTGAGGAATGATTATGAAACTGAATTTCAAAAATCATATTTATTCATGAAATGACATATTCATCTTAAGAGAAGATAGCTGAAAATTTACTTTCATTTGTTACCGTATATATATATATTTAATAACATATGCTTATATATATATATATATATATATATATATATATATATATATTTATTTATATATATATATATATATATATATATATATATATATATATATATATATATATATATATATATAACAACAATAAATGTCTATTATGTCTGATCATGAGCCGTTCTAATGTTCAAATGATTGCTTTAGTGAAAATAAAGACAAAATGGTCCAACATTTGGATATTTTTCTGTTAAGTTGGTCCTGAGGTTTCGGCTCACATGAGTCATCCTCAGAATGGTTATACAGACATGAAACAAAGATATCCACCGTCAAAGATGATATTTCGTTATTTTAACATAGAACATTGCTATGCGACGACAACGGTCGCTGAATAGCAGACACAGATCATAAGTTCAAGGTGCGGTTCTATGACGTCCTACCACGCGATAATTTTCACCAACTGGAGCCCGCTCCGGAGCACATTTCTTTAGGAGGAAGCTGGGATCCCGTCACATCTGCTTGACCTGTGGGAGTCTAGTTTGAAAATGATGTATGAAACAAGTGATGTGCATATCACTCATTAGAGCCTCCGTTCTAGGAAGGAAATAGGTATGGGTATTCCAAATGAACGAACCTCCGAGCAAATCACCCCAAATTCTCTGCTGGAGATATCAGGACTTCAAATTGATTGAAGAGAGGGGGGATTGAGGATTTGCTGTTGTTCATTATATTCTTACAGAAAAGGAACGATTCCACGCTGCAGATTTTGGTACGATTACCAGGAATCTTAGATGAAGAAAGGTTGAGGAGGTCAGGTGTTTTTTGGCGAGCTGACTTAATTCATGAATAATAATTACATCGGACATTCAACTACTTATCAAAACGATGTTGCACAACTTGGGGGCCGTTAATAATAGCTGGCCTCTCGTATTTGAGGATACACGTCTACTAGGGCGGCTAGCCAGTCCCTATTGCAAAAGCTCGCTCAACACCCACAGAGCCCACCTATGGTTTATACTGCCACTATGCTGAGCAAACCTTTGTTAAGGTTTCTGGGAGAGAATGATCAACAATGTGAACAACACCAGCACACTCAAACCCTCGGTCACGATGACTTAGGACTTCGTGCTAACACAACTATCGGCGGCCCTCAAGAGTTACGTCTACCCAGTTTCACTCACAAGGCTTGGGTATAGTTTTCAGACACTTTCCAAAGGTGCCGCACATCTCGATCCATTCCGATAATATCAGGAGGTCGCCTTCCTGACGAATTGACCCTGGTGAGATTCGAACCCGCGTTTCATGGTTCAGAAAGCGAACGTTCTATCTACTCGGCCACGCGGCCATTAGGACCCATTTAAATACACACGGAGACGTATTAATCTGTCTCCGAAATATACTCACGGAAAATGCCAACATATTTTTATAGAAAATATGCGTCCCACAACAGGAATCGAACCTGTATCATACAGCCTGTATCAAACCTGTATCATATAGCCTGACGTGCTTTACTGGTTTAGCCAAAGAGGAGAGTTTCAGTTAGCAAGGTCGAATTTACTGTGCCCATTTCATAATGTGCGATGTCATTTGTTTACATTTGAATAGGCACCGAGCAGATATGATGTACGAGAGAAAATCATGGAGAATTATAGTTTAAAAACAGTAAAAAATTGACTTTTCTAAACGCTTCCCTGTGACTAAATCGGTAAAGCACGTCAGGCTCTATGACGGTTCTGTGTAGAAGACAGGTTCGATTCCTATCGGAGGATGCATGCTGAAAATTTCTCGGATATTCAGGCCGGTAAATGTCGTTAATACTGTTTATTATAAACAGAGGATTTACTTAAATATTTTAGCTACAAAAACAACGTAGAAGCATAAAAATGTCTTAAAATAATTGTCGAACTTTGTCCATTTCCATTATATATATATATATATATATATATATATATATATATATATATATATATATATATATATATATATATATATATATATATATATATATATATATTGGAATAGATAGCGGATTGGATTGAGAAATCACAGAGCTGAGTTCGAATTCCAGTTGGACCCATTACATTCACTTACGTGCTAATACCCTTGGGAAAGGTGTGAATCCTCTTCTTCACCCTCCAGCTATGGGTAAATAGCAGGACATACTGGGATCTATAGCTTTGGATGGCAACTGGTCTAGGAGAAGAACAACTCTGAATTCAAAACCTGCAGAGGGTCGTTTGGGAACCTTGTGGCATTCGGTGCACCAGGTCTCTGTATTCGTCCCTTCAAAAAGTGTGACTGGTCTTGCACGAAGCCCTGGCCGCTAGAATCAAATCTCATGTGCTGTTGTCGGGCTGTCGGTTTCCTGGGAACTGATCTGTTTGACCCTCATACGTCGAATTCGACGGGAGAGTCGACTATATATATGTATATATATTTATTAAGATAAACAAATATGTCCTTCATAATGGCTAATAGATTAACCGTAAGCAATTGGAGCTAGATATCATTTGGAGAGTTCAAAAAAGAAATATCTTGTACAGATATGAGAAAAATCTAATATAAAACTAATCGCATTGACTTGTCAGTTATCTTCAATGAAACCTGTATCAAAGAAGAATTGCTGTCAAATACACAATTACGCCAAACACACATAAACACAAAAGCACATGCACATGCACACATACATGTATATACACCTGTGTGTGTTTTGGATACACGTGACCTGTACGTAATCGAATTT